TTAAAGAAATGATGAAACTTTAGTGTACTTTTATTTGAATATGGAAACCATATTAACGAAAATTTTAATAAAAACTTTATTACTTGAACAGAAATGACAAAACAATTGAATATTTATTAACTCTACCAAATTTGGAATTTTATAGCTTCTATAAAACTTAAAGTGAAATGTAATAGTAATTGAATTAAAATAAATTGAGCTTCTGAAGAACTGTTTTAGTATTTATTCCTGAAAGATTTTAATAAAACATTTAAAAAAACTAAATAAATAATAGGAAAGATTATTGTCAATGATTGATTAAAAATGTAGTATTTTATTCATTTGATTTAATATTCGTAATGTGAAGCGCGTTTTATAATTGTCTATTACCAATTGCTTGAAGAATGCAGCAAAAAACCCTGCATACCGCACGCGTCATTTTATCATGAAAAGTTGCCTTAATTTTCGACAAATTTTTGAAATGGAAATCGATGAAGAGGACTGTTGTAAGTTGTTACATCGAGGTTAGTTGCGGTTACGTGCCAGCAGGATGTACCAGAATATTGATAGTGCATATGCATTTAAAAACTGTATCGCGGTATTTTGTTGTTAACATACTCGTTTTTAAGTGATCCTTGTCTGTCATTCCGTGTGAGAATATTTTGTGATGAAAAACCTTCGGTCATGATGTGGAAGGTTAATGATCAATGCAACTGAATGTTAAATACACATTAAACGGCATAGTAATTAAATCTAATACAGATTAATTGACTTAGAAAGTTAGTAAAACGTTACGATGAGTAACCGGGAGAAAAGTGATTCGCGATCAGAGCAAGGTGTTAAGATAAAGGAGGACAGAGAAAGAAAGCAATCAGTGTCCTCGCAAAGCGACGATTCTGATGTTAAGAAAAAGAAGCGCAACACGTGTAGTAAGGATAAGAGAAAGAAGTCAAAGCATAGAAGTAGCTCAAGTAGCTCTAGTTCATCTAGTGTTTCTAGTCGCGAGGCTAAGCACCAAAATGACAGAGACAAGTGGGATAAGAGGTATGAAAATGGTGTTAGACCATACCGGCTAAATCCAAGGGAAGGCAGGGGATATTATAAAGGACGCAGTGGATACTTGGATAATCGTAAACGCAATTTTGGTTACCGACCCTATAAACATTCTGGATTTTATGATAGAAATAGACATAACAATTCACAATACAATAGGTATAATAATGATAGGAGGGGTAGATTCTTAAATCATAACAGTAGAAGACCACCTTATGATAGGTCAAGAAGTAGAAGCACATTGGATCATGAACATCAAAGAAGCATAAAAGATTCTAGTGAATATTCAAGGGAAAGTAATTCAAAAGAAAGACACATAAAACAACCTAGTGCTGATAAAACAGAGACAAAAAAGGGAGATACAGATGACACTCATATGAAAGGGAAAGAAAAAAAGAAGGATGAAAACACACAAGGAAAGACTGATCATGTTGTTCGCAAAAAGTCAAAGAGGAAAAGATCTTTATCCTCTTCAAGTTCCTCAAGTGTAAGCAGTAGCAGTAGTGACAGTAGTAGCAGTAGTTCTAGCAGTAGCAGTAGCAGCAGTAGTTACAGCAGTAGCAGTACAGATACTTCTGAAGATGAAAAAAAACGTAAAAAAGCAAGAAGGAAAGCTAAGAAGTTAAAGAAAGCTATGAAGAAACGTAGAAAGAAGAAAAGAATGAAGAAAAAGTTGAAGAAGAAATTAAAGAAATCATCTAAGAAGAAAGCACGTAATACTGACAAATCCAAAGAAGGTGCTTCTAAAGATGTTTCACAAGATATATCAGAAAAGTCAAAGGCAATGGCACCAATGACAAAAGAGGAATGGGAAAAGAAGCAGAGTGTAATACGCAAAGTTTATGATGAAGAAACTGGAAGATACAGGTATTCCTTATAAGAGATGCAGATATATTTTTATTAATATGAATATATAGTACGTAATTTATTTAATACTTTCATAGGTTAATCAAAGGTGATGGAGAAGTCTTAGAAGAGATAGTGAGTAGGGAATTTCATAAAGAGATAAATAAGCAAGCAACTAAAGGAGATGGAGAGTACTTCCAGGCACGCTTGAAAGCCAATGTTTTATGAACTATTTTTCTATGTATGCTAAAAAAAAGTCCCCTTACATAATAATTACTTTATTGTCAATGTTAAAGTCCTGTATGACAATATGTTTTATAATGTCTCAGAGAAAATACTTACATGTTGTACATTAATGAAACTTGTCTACAGTGTGATTTTAATTATATTACATGCACATAACGTTTTATCTACAACGTTAATGACCAAATGTTGAAATATAATCAACAACGAAACACAATTTAGATGTTAAACCAGTTTTATATAGTCATATTTTTTCCATACTGACTATTCAAATTCACTGTCATGTATAAATTATAAAAAAATTGTTTGGATACATCTTAAAGACACTAAACATAATGTAGTAATAGATATGAAGAAAATTTGTAACTGTTTATTATTTCGATAAACTAGCTACATTATTTTCATAAATAAAAAAATTAATTAACAATTGGTCAATCATTTTCAAGATATAAATTTTATTTTTGTGTACGAATACTTCTATCATTTCTTATATACAGATTATTTTACATACTTATAAAATTCATACTTTTGTTTCCTTCAAGTTAATTGATATATAAAAGTTATTTCATTTATGATGTCAGAGTACTGATAAGTGATTTATGTAAAAATAACATTGTTACAAAGCATTTAAAAAAATTTTGTGTTTTATGTAAATTAAATTCTTAATATAAATTCTTCTTATTACAATTAGGAAATAATACATTTTCCTATATTATACATGAAAGTCAATAAAATTGAATAAAGTGAGTTGTATGGCCATCTCGATAAATAGGATCATCCGCGATTGCTGCTCGACATAATGGGCACGAACATTCTCGATCGAACCATGTTAAAACACATGTTTCACAAAAAATATGTTTACAATGTAGTCTCACAGGCGTAGAGTACTCCTCGTGACAAATTGCACAAATACCACCCGAAGCTACTAATTGCTCTTTCGATGGTGAAACGCCCAAATTCTGTAAAATAAGAAATCATTAATTGTTCTATAAATCCTGGGTTTTTTTTTTTATGAAACATTAAAAATCATACCACATTTTGAAAAAGTTTCCAAATAGCAGTGCGAAATAGCTTCACATGTGACAGTAAATCATTTCCTTTGTTTACTGTATATATTAAAGAGAAACATGTTCCCAAGATTTTTTCTGGTCCTTGATAAGCTTCAAAAAAATAATATAACCATGGCTGGACAGGTACAACACATCTATAAAGTTGAGATGTTGCTTCTATCATAAGATAATATTTTCCCTAAATAAAAATTATTATTTAGTTTGCAATCAATTGATATTATTAAACAATCGCATATTACAATTTACCCTTTTCCGAAGTGCCAGAAGTTTTGAAGGCAAGCATGTTACAAAAACTTTACAAATAATAGTAATCAGTTTCAAAACAAAGTCAGTTATCAAAACAGACCACAATAGTTCCCAAACGGTAAGAGGTTGAGTATATGGAGAAAGTATATGTGTGTCACATTCAAAATTAATAAAAGCTATACATGCAATAATATAACATGTAATAACTAAAAGTGACATCAAACTTTTATTGTGTTGTTTCGCAATTTCACGTTTTACAACGTTATTAGCATAATTAAATATAGCAACTAATACTATAAAGTATAATACACTGGCTCTGTGATCATAAAGGCCTTTAACAAAAAGAATAGAAAGAAAACGAATATATTTTAGTAATATTCTAGCTAATGCACGTAAATCTGATCTTATTTGTGCTGCTTCTGCTGCATTTTCTTCTGTGTTATAATTATTGTTGTTGTTGTTGTGGTTAATAACATTATTACTATTATTGTTTTGGCTTTCACCCACAACCTCATTTGCAGCCTCACGAATATTATTTAAAAAACTCTCTGTTGCAGTTGTTTGATGATGATGATGATGATGATGATGATTGTCATGAACTGAATCATGCAAATTTACACTGTTTGTTGGTTGTTCCTCAACATTGATGATATAATTATCAGATGAAGGTGGTACACTGTTTGTTGGATTCTGAACTCTTTGGATATTTAGTAATGACCTTAATGAAATGCCAGGTTGCTACAAATATAAATAAGAATAGAATTATTATTAAATATATTAGCAGAAGAATCTGTAAAATATACATTAAAAATGCACTTACAATACATACATGTTCTATCAAGGGTCTGTTTTCATTTGTGGAAGAAGATATATTATTTGCAAACATTCTAGAGTGTTCCATATTTGTAGTACTGAAATTAAAGCCCCTTGTGCTAATAGATGGTGTAGATTGGGTTGTAGTTGATGAATGTGTCATTAACAATCCAGAAGGCTGTCTAATATCATTTGCAGTTGACATAAGAAGTATTGTTGTATTCATAACCACATCAATAATCTCTTCCAATCTCACATTATCCGCCATTCTATATATACAATTATAACATACATTTTTATACTGGAAATAATATATACGCAATTTGTTATCAAAAATGATTTTAATGCACACAAATATAGTCGGAGAAATCCGTTGCCGGAACACTTTGAAAACACTTTAACGTGTACGGAATGCACAATTGTTCTGACAATGCTCAATACTAATACGCGATACTTTATCTACTGACATAACTGTGAAATTAATTTCTATCAACATACACCAGACGAAAAAAATGTACATAAAGTACAGAACTCTTTTCCTGATTTCCGCAAAAAACATCAATTAACGTCAAGACAAATTATCGTAAACTTTCGTATAAACAACCATATAACAAATATTGACACAGCATATGGTAAACAGCATATTTGTTATTCGAGACCAAATATTAAAACATATAATCGCAGAAAAGAACAGACATACTAGAGTTTTATAATACATTCATTTTACAATTTAATATTTAGTAAAGTATAAAAATTCCATACGAAACACTAACTTTCGCACATTTTACAATATTATATTTTCATAGAACGCATCCTCCAAAATATGATTCATAATTTTTGATGTCTATATACATTCAATTACGCCATTTTCTGTAAAATTATTCTTGTGTTACGTTCCAGACTCTTAAAGGCGAGTACGCAACAAGAAAGGGAAACTATCTCCAGTCAACATAGCGCAATATAAAAATAAATATTCCTAAGCTAGTTGGTTTATGAAAACAAAGTATAAATTGGTAGTCCTTAAGTAACTGTAAGACTTAAATTCTAAGTATAGTACGATAACTCTAGTCTTTACATAGTTTAAGGATAAAAAATTATAAAAGCGCGAAAAACCGACGTAGCGTCCATCGTGAACATACAGAAAGGCTACTGTGATAATACCGTAGTATAGTATCGGAAGAAAGAATAAAATTAAGTAGTATCAACATGTGGTCTCAATTTCTTTTGTGACTTCCTCTATTCCAAAAAACAAAAAAGCGAACGCCACATGCGCTTGAGAATTATCGCTCTTTCACCGGTCAAATCGGAAGTTTGTTGTAAACGATACCAACTTGAAATTAAGGAAAAATTACATTATACTTTCATACTTTGGAGTGTTATTTGGTATATAACATGTAAGCTGTGTGCATATTCTGTTTCTATTAAAATTTGTTTCATAACCTAAATTAAATAACAACTTTTAATAAAACTTCTCTTTTGATCAACATTTATTCAAAATTGACCTCGTCTTTATATAGATTGTAAAATACTTCACATAGTACTACAGATTACATTTTTGGTATTCATAATAATTCTGTAAATATTTCGAATATTCTACGAATACACGGAAGGGCACGATATATGACAAGTCTGTGGTGCCTATTTTCGAATATATTTCACGTGTTTCCCTCGTTTACATTTCCTTTGTATCCCTCGTATGGAATTGCAATAAGTGTAAGTGCATTTTGATGCTGGCCG